AACAAATAAATGTTGGCAATTAGGTTTACACAAATTTCTAATTAGTTGGCTATTTAGCCCTCTTAGACAATCTTGTTTTCTTACCTGCCCGGAGAAGTCAGCTGCTTGGTGATCCTGAGAGCGCATTCACACTTGACCTCCTTCTCCTGCATGAGTTTGAAGAGCAGCTGCCCTTTGCACTAATGTGCAAAGTGTCTCTACCATTTTCCCCAGTCCTCACCACTCCTTACTGTCTGCTGGCCCTCAGGCTGCATTCTCCAGGTCCCACTTGGGTGGCAACATTTCTCGTACTGGAGAACACTTTCTTGAGCCCAAATCTGTCAAGAGAAGGGCAATGGAAGATAGAATAAGGAGTGATGAGGAGGCGTGTTTTGATCACTAATGAACCACTGCATGCATTTCTGTAACTACTTTGCTCTAGTAGACATAGGGTTTTGGTATCCCTGCTGTAAATCATGGAATGTTCTTCCAGAATATTGACATTGTTGGTTGTTGGCTCTGATTCAGTCATCTGCTAAGAAAGGCCAATTCCATGTACACTGGAAGAACATGCTACCTCAAGCAACCCATGGTTAGTCATAGTTGGACCATTCTGACCCATAGAGTTTTCATTGATTGGTGGTTGTGGTGGTTGTTTTTTTGTTTGTTTTCTTTTTTTAGTAGATCACTAGGCCTTTTTTTTTTTGTCACCAGGCTTTTCTTCCTAGTCCTCTTTAATTTAAAGTTAATTCTATTCATCGTAGCAACACACAAACATTCCCTGACAGGTGGGTGGTGACTCCACATGAGTTGCATGAGCCAGGAATTGAACCCAGATCTCCCACATGGAAGGCAGAAAGGCAGAAGTTCTAGTACTGAACCATCACCACCTCCTGTGTATTTACACTGTAGCTGTTAGATCACGTCAATTTGGTCAAGCCAATTTTGGGTCTTAATGAGCTTATCTGGCAGAGTAGAACTTCCCAATGGAGTTTTTCTAGGCTGTGTCTGCGACGGTAACTATTTGCCACATCTTTCTAATGTGTCACACTGCTTAACAAGGGTGCCTGTTTTTATGCTAAATTCAAACCAGACCTATTGCCCTGAAGTTGGTTCCAACTTAACAACAATCCTGTTGGACAGAGTAGAATTACCCATAGAGTTTCTCAGGCTGTAAATCTTCACTGAAGAGAACTGTTACAGCTTTATCCCATGGAGTAATTACTGGATTGTTTGAGACCGCTCATCTTTTTCTCATGGTACAGTTTGTGGATTTGGATTCCTGACTTCTCAGCTTTACAACACATAACGCATCTTACTGTTGTTGTTGTTTTATGCCATCGAGTTGTTTGTGACTCATAGCAACCCTATGCACAGCGGCTCTGAACCCTGCCCTATCCTGAGCCAGTCTCACTGACACACCAAACCCCATTGCCTCAGTTACCATGTCACTCCATCTTTTCTGGGGTCTTCCTCTCCTGCACTGTCCCCCACCTTCGAAGCATGATGTCTTTCTCCAAGGACTAGTCCTTCTTGGCTGTGTGCCCAAAGTATGTGAGACAGACCTTCAAAATCTTTGCCCCCACGGAGAAACTTTGTTTTACCCTCTCCAAGATAGACTTCTTTGTTCTTCTAGTGGTCTGTGGTATGTTCAGTGCTCTTCCCCAACACCGTGAAACAGTTGAAGTCTCTGTGACCTAGAATGAAGGGAGAAAAGACAGATTGGAGATAAAAGAGTCAAAGCAAAGGTCTGCTATGAAGGGAAAAAAGGAGAAGGCAGTGCTAATAGAGGCCTTGATCTGAAGACCCATTGCTAAATGCACGTTTCAGAGGCTCAGTTGTTCTCCCAGTATCCTGAAGGGCAAGAGAAGAATGTTGTTTGGTAGGACCACCACAGAGTCTCTAGCATCGGTGCCAGGACTCTGCTCTGCCTCTCGCCGTGGGAGATGTGCCTTCCCCCTATAAACATCAGTGGGCTTGCAAGGCTCAGTCGATTCCCACTTGAAGAATTGCCTTGCACTGATAGTTCCAAAAATAACTTCATAAAATTATACAGGAGAGCCAGAAGGAAACAATTTCAGACAATCAAAGCAGCGTGACATTTGTCAGGTTTACAAGATGTAAGCATCTCAAACTTGGAACAGTCTAGGAGAAGTGGTCTTCCCAGGGCCTTGGGCTCTTAATGCCACTGTAGCCTTGAGGCTCCAAAGATAACCCAAAAAGGGGTGGGGGTGTGTGTGTCCCTGAGCTGTTGTTTCTAATCTAAAACCCTGAGCAGAGGACTATTTCCTCACAGCATGACAGTCCAGTCATACTAAGGGTCTTGGCTTTTGTTGAATTTCACAGAGAGTGACAGAGGTTGATACATGAGAGAGTTCAAAACATGGACCCCATGGGGAAAGGAAGCAAAGAGAGAGGACACATGTAGCCACATATTTGGGAATACCACAGGACCCGTATGATCAGCACAGCCTTTCCTGGACCTGCTGCCTTCTGGTGATACCGTCTTCCTTCCTTTAAGAAGCAGGAGAGTGTATTAGTTAGTGGTAGAACTGTAGGCTAAAACAATATTGTTCTTATTATATGCCATCGAGTTACTGCAGTTCATATACTATGTAGAGCTCTGAACCCTGCCCTATCTTGAGGCACTCTCTTGTCTCTGACACAGCTACCCCTATTACCCAAGTCATTGAGTCAATCCACCTCCTCCAAAGTCTTCCTCTCTTGCATTGTTCCCTCCACCCTTACAAGCATGACGTCCCTCTCCAGGGACTGGTCCCTCCTTGCAACATGTCCAGTGTATGTCAGCCAGAGCTTCAAAATCTTTTCCTCCAAGGAGCAGCCTGGCTTCACCCTCTCCAAAACTAAATTCTGCTTTTGTCCCTTGTTGTTGTTGATTGCCTTCAATTTGAGATGGCTCCTAATGACCCTACGAACAAAAGGCCTGAAGCTTTTCTAGAACTATCACTGTTTATCAAAGTTCATAGAGTTTCCGGAGGCATGTTGTTTAGGAAGTGGATTCGACTCCTGTTTCTTTTAGTAACACTATTTTAGAATTTTCTGTACCTTGGTTTCTGGCACTCTAAGGTAAAGAATAGTTTCTGCCTTGCAGAGATGCCATGAAGGTAAAGTAGATAGATCATATAAAACATTGATTCTAATATTTTTCCATGGAGGAGCCCCTTCCGTCAATGTTATTATTGCTGTTACGTCTTTGTGGACATTCAGCTCCTTCTGAAAAGCAGGCCAAAGGCCATTGTAGAATATACTCATTCCTCTTATACCTCCTAACCTGGCTCTCATCTGGAGAATGCCCTGGTCGTTCATTTATGATTTGGTTGATGGTAGTGGAGGTCTTTGGCAGTGTTAGTCTCAATGACAAGGCTTCTTCTCCTCTGGGCTTAAGTCCACCCACCTCTGGACTAAGGTGAGGACCTCTCTCACAGAGACATGGCCATTTCGCCACTGTAAAACATGGTTCTTCATAGAGTTAGTAACTCACCGAAACAGTGCATTTCATTTGAAAGTCCTTCCCAGCTATGCCCAGTGAAGATGAATGTCTTCTCTCCCTATGTTTAGGAGGTGTTGTAGCATTGATTTGACAGCCTAAATTTGGAAGCCAGGCCGCTTGAGATTGAATCTGGGGCCTGGCACTTAATGGCTCTGTGACCTTGAGTAAGTTTATTGACCTCTCTGACTCAGCCTCTTGTTATGTGCTGTTGACTCGGTTCTGACTCAGCCTGGCTGTGCACGATCATCACAGAACAACGTGAAACACTGCCCAGTCCAGCAGCATCCTCATAATCAGGGCTGTGTCTCGGCCCATTGTCACAGCCACCGTGTCAATCTGTTCCATTGATTGTCTTCCTGTTCTCTATTGATGCCCTGCTCTGCCAGCATGATGTCCTTTTCTGGGAACCAGTCCTTCCTATAACGTGTCCCAAGGGAGCGGAGATGAAGCTTCATCCTCCTCGCTTCCGAGTAGCATTCTGACCACAGTTCTCCCGAGATAGATGTGTCAGTTCTTCCGGCAGTCCATCGTACTGTCCATGACCTTCACCCACATTAAACTGCGTCTCAGCTTCGTTATTGTAAAATAGGGATATTACCATCGCACTGCACTGTTTTAAACAAGTTGATGTGGAAATTGAGAGAGCATGCAGTACCTATCCAATCATAAGCAGTAAATGTTGTTGTTGTTGTTGTTGGAACCGACCCATAGCCGAACCTCCAGCAGGTGTTCAGAGGCTGTTAATCGCACAGGAGGAGATTGCCCATCCCTTTCCTGCAGAGTGGCTGGTGGCCTTGAACCCCATGCCTTTGGGATTGCAGTGCAGCTTCTTGCCACTATAATATTCTCTTCCTCTGTCTCTTCTCCTACTTCTCTTTTTCTTTGTCTTGATTTTATCTTCATCATCACCAATGCCAGGCATGGAAGTCTCAGATCTGAAGGTGCTTGGCTCCATCTGCCTTCTTTTAGTTCACCCACAGCACCAGATCGACTTTTCAGGGATCAGTTTCCATTCCCTTCCTTTCCACTTTTTTTCTTCTCAACCTCCAGCTCTATGGGTCTACCTTTCATCTAGTGCCAGGCCCAGGGCAACAGTCAATTTGGGCCTGTGCTAGAATGTTTGAACTGATTGGACTAATTACTATTATGTAGCAGCTAATAAAATAGACCTTATGTTTCCTCAAGTCTAAGATTCTTGTGGTGACTCATCTGTGACAGTCTGTTTGCCTAACTGTGCAGCTCCTAATGTCCTTTGTTTTCTGGTCTTTGAAATTCGACTACTATCCACTTCATGTAGTTTTGTGAGGTTTTATTAAATTATATGTGACAAACACTCATATTAAAAATTCTTGGCGTCTGTGATTGATTGTGAGTGATCAGTAAATACTGGCTTGTCATTGACCCAGGCATCATCGCAGACACAGCATCCCAGCCTTCGCTGCTGTCCTGGTGGGGAAGTGGTTCAGGCTGCAGATTCCTGTCCTCACATATTCTTTGGTTTCTCCCTTAGGAAAAGCACCTCACTTCCTGAGACTCCAAAATGTCGAGGTGAACGTGGGACAGAATGCCACATTTCAGTGCATTGCTGGTGGAAAGTGGTCTCAGCATGACAAACTTTGGCTTCAGGTAAGGATGAGGCAACCTCTTGCTTAAACCTATCCATGCCTATTTCCTGGCTACAGGAAAGTGTGTGCTATGGTGGAGGGCCTGCTGGGTTAAGGGGAAGGACCATTTATTAAGGACTTCTGCTCCTTGGAGTGTGTTCTGTATTGATGTCTCAATTCTTGTTTGGAGTTCTCTTAGGTAGGTGACACAACAGATTGTACCCTTTTTACAGATGGAGAAACTGAGACCACAAAGCAAAAAGTGCTAGAAATAGAATTTGCATCAATTCTTCTAACATACTTTGTGTTTGAAACCTAGTTTTACAAGGTTGAGGCAAACTTCCTCTTTTCAGTTCTGGATATGTAGCATCGTAATATTTTTCCTATAAGGTTATTGGATGTCCAGTGGTCTGGAAGTTTCCATCTAGTAGGTAGCATTGGGGTAAAATCAGAGACACCCTTGATCACAAAATGAACAAACTAATCAATGTTTACAGTAGGCAATGCTATCTAGACCCCACCACAATAGTGTTCTAAACATAGTCCTATTTTCCTCTTAATCCTTATCCTTGCCCCTTCTTCCTACCAAGTTGAGAATGGATCTGTTTGATTGGAGCTCAGGGTCAGGAATCTGTTTGATTGGAGCTCAGGGTCAGGGCAGTAGGAGAGAAACCAGGATAAAGTTTTGTATAGCGGCAGGCATAGTGCCATCACTGATCACAGAAATCCCAAGTTCTTGGGCAGCAACAAAGTTCAAAATTTTATACACTAGCCACATGTGACTATTTAAAATTTTTTATTTTTTTTAAAAAAATGTAAACCGTTTTGTTGAGGTATAATTTACATACAATATTTAAAGTTTGTGCTCGCTTTGGCAGCACATATACTAAAATTGGAATGATACAGAGAAGATTAGCATGGCCCCTGCGCAAGGATGCAATTGGCAGCATCAGGATGGATGGTGAAGAGATTGAGATTGTACACAGCTTTAGTTTGCTTGGCTCCATAGTCAACAGTCTTGGCACCAGCAGCCAGGAAATTAAAAGGCGCATTGCCATGGGAAAGTCTGCTGTTAGGGACCTCTCCAAAGTACTGAAGAGCAATGGTGTCTCTCTGGAGACTAAGGTGCGTCTGATACAGGCTATGGTCTTCGCAATCACTTGTTATGCATCAGAGAGTTGGACAATGACCAAGGAGGATAGAAGGAGAATTGATGCCTTTGAGCTGTGGTGCTGGAGAAGAGTATTGAGAATACCATGGACTGCTAGGAAAACAAACAGATTTGTCCTGGAAAGGGTTAAACCGGGTGGCTCCTTGGAGGCAAAGATTCTGAGGCTCCATCTAACATACTTTGGACATGTTGTGAGGAGGAACCGGTCCTTGGAGAGGGACATCATGCTTGGGAGGGTGGAGGGACGGCGCAGGAGAGGAAGGCCCTCTATGAGGTGGATTGATTCAGTGACTGGGATAATTGGGATGGGAGTGTCAGAGACAGTGCGATTGGCACAGGACAGAGCGGAGTTTAGGGCTGTTGTATATAGGGTCGCTATGAGTCGCAAGCGACTCGACGGCACTTAACAACAACAACATTTAAAGTTTATAATTTAGTAGATTTTGACATTATACATGCATTCATATGACATTATTACCATCACTTTTATTAGTCTGTATTATTACAGCAACTGATGTGTTTTCTCCCACACTATGTTCCTTTGTATGTTCTAAAATTTTATATAAATGCAATCATAAAGCATTCTCTTTTCTTTCACCAAAGAAAATTCCTTCGAGATGTCTCTGTGCTATATTATTTTTCAATAATTTATCTTTTATCCCCCTGAACAATATTCTGTTACATGAGTTCTGGAGTTGTAGCCCATTGACTGTTGTGTTGCTAACGCAAAGGCCTCACCTCTCTGGTGTTTCAAATCCACCAATTTCTCTGTAGGAGAAATATTTTCCTACGAGGTTTACAGTCTTGGAAACCCACCATAACATCAGCTATGAGAGAGAGAGATGAACGTACCACATTTTATCTTTTAACATATTGAGTATGTTGTTGTTGTTATGTCTTGTTGAGTTGGAACCGATACGTAACTGACCTTCCTGTGGGTTTTCAGAGTCAGTGAATCACAAGAGAAGAGATTGCCCATCTTTTCCTCCACAGAGCCCCTGATGGATTTGAACCATGTACCTTTGGTGTTACAATGCAGCTTCTTACAACTGGGCTACCAGAGCTCCCATATTGATGTAGACTAGGTTTGGTTTTTTTAAAAAAAAATTGGATCTATTACCAAAAAAAAATTGGTGCACATTCATGTGCAAGTCTTTGTGGGGATGTATGCTTTCAGTTCTCTTTGGTAAATATCTAGAAGTGCAGTGACGTATATGGCGGATAAATATTTAGCGTTATCATTTTACATGTAACTCGTGGTTGCTGTCATGCTGAACACTGTGACACTGATGTGTTAAATGTGATAATGGTCACCTATGGTGGACAATATTTGGTGGAGCTTCCCGATTAAAACAAGCTTGGAAGCAGGAGTAGCATCAGCTTCCAAAAATAGCTTGCCTCTGGAAACCCTGTGAACATGGAGAAAGGAAGAAAGTTACACAGGTGTTTAGGACTTTTGTTCACAGTGTTGCTGTGAGTCACCCACTACTCGACGGCACTTAACAACAACAACATAGAGTGCGCTCAGTTGGCCTAGTGGACAGAAAGTGATGCTACTGAGGCAAACGTGGGTGACTTTAATCTGTGGCCCTCAGGCCTGTTTTTAATTGTTTTTGGTGAAACATTCTTGTTGGTCGTATAGTCCTGGTCTGTCCACTTGCTGTACAGAGGTAACTCATGGTTGCTGTGATGCTGAACACTGTGACACTGATGTGTCAAATGTGATAATGGTTACCCATAGTGGACAGTGTTTGGTGGAGCTCCCAATTAAAATAAGCTTGGAAGCAGGAGTGACATCCACTTCCAAAAATAGCTTGCCTCCGAAACCCTATGAACCTGGATAAAGGGTGAAAGTTATACAGGTGTTCAGGACTTCTGATCATAGGTCGCTATGAGTCGCCTATGACTCAGTGGCACTTAACAACAACAACAACGTCAACATATCATAATTTAAAAAAAACAAACACAAACCCACCACAAAAGCAGATGACAAAACCCGAAACAAACCCCTGAAACTCCTTGTGTCAGATTGGAACCAACTCATGACAAATCTTACATTGAATTTCTGGGGCTGTGAATTGCACAGGAGATTGCCCCTCTTTCCTCTGGGGAGTTGCCAGTGGATTCAAACCACCCAAGAAATGCTGTCTTGGGGTTAGTAGTGCGTCTTTCTACTGAGTAGTTCAAGGGAGAGTTCTAGTTGCTCCATATGGTCACCAACACTTGATATGATCAGTCTTGGTAGTTTTAGCCATTGGAGCAGGAGTGTGCTATTGGAATCTCTGGATGGCAAAAGAGTTATGTGCTTGGCTACTAATTGAAAGATTGATGATTCATACCTACTGAGAGACACGTTAGGAGAAAGGCCTGGGATCTGGTGTGAAAAAAACAATGTGTGCAAACTTCTTAAGTAAACCAGCTTATATGAAACCTACACTTGGATGAGGAGGCAGTCATCAGAATAGAGCAAGGAAACACTGCATGGTTCAAAGTTGGGAAGGGTGTGTATCAAGGATGTGTCCTGTCTTCGTATCTTTTCAATCTATATATGGAACAGATTATCAGGCAGACTGGGCTCCATGAGGAGAAGTGTGGCATCAGGATTAGAGGTAGACTTATCAACAGTGTTATGCAGCAGACACAACCCTGCTTGCTGAAACTGAGGAGGACCTGAAGTGCTTGCTGCAGAAGGTCAAGGACTGTAGCCTTCAATGTGGATTGAAGCTTAATATCAAGAAAACAAAGATTCTCACGACTGAGCCCATTGGCAACATCATGATAGATGGTGAAAAGATTGAGATTGTTGACAGCTTCAGTTTGCTTGGCTCCACAATCAACACTCTTGGTACCCGCAGCCAGGAAATTAAAAGATGAATTGCACTGAGAAAGTCGGCTGTCAGAGACCTCTTCAATGTATTGAAGAGCAATGATATCAGTCTGGAGACTAGGTGCGCCTGATACGGGCCATGGTCTTTGCAATTACTTGCTATGCATCAGAGAGCTGGATGATGACTAGGGATGATAGGAGAGTTAATGCATTTGAGCTGTGGTGCTGGAGAAGAGTATTGAATATACCATGGACTGCTAGTAGAACAGACAAGTTCTTCCTGGAGAGGGTAAAGCCAGCCTGCTCCTTGGAGGCAAGGATTCTGAAGCTTCATCTGACATACTTTGTACATGTTGCAAAGCAGAATCAGTTCTTGGAGAGGGACATCATGCTTGGGAAAGTGGAGGGACAGCGCAGGAGAGGAAGATCCTTGGTGAGATGGATTGATTCCGTCACTGGGGTAATGGGGATAGGTGTGTTGGAGACAATAAGATTGGTAAGGGATAGAGCAGGGTTTAGGGCTATTGTATATAGGGTCGCTATGAGTCACAGGCAACTCGATGGCGCCTAACAGCAACAACATTAGATTAAATTTTTTCAAAAATCACCCAGTCCCTGCCATTGAGTCAGTTCAGACAGTGACCTTCCATCCAGTTTCGGAGGCTACACATCTTCCTGGGTGGAGACTGCCAGTCTTTTCACTAAGGAGCAATTGGTGGATTCAACTTATTCAGCATGCACTGTGCCACCAGGGGTCCTGAAAACCTTTTGGAGCACATTTCTTTGTTTGTTTGTTTTTAAGCAAAGCAGCTGAAATAGGCTTATTAAGGCAATAAAACAGAGGCATAGCTAGTGAAAAGGGGGTGGTGGTGGTTTATACCATCAAGTCGGAACTCTTAGATATCCTTCCAGCAGGTTTTCAGAGGCAGTTAATTGCACTAGAGGAGATTGCCCGTCCTTCCGCCATGCAGCAGGTGGTGGATTCGAACCGCTTGTCTTTGGGATTGCAGCACAGCTTCTTATC